ATTGGATTTAGGACAGCTTTAAAAAGATATCGATCTGACCTGTGGTAAAAGGGATTTTTACTGCTTCTTTTTGTTGGTACTGAAACTTCCAAATCGATTTTCTCCCAATTGAGCTGCAAGATATTGAATGTATAGCTTTTAGAAGTGCTCTTCTTTGTTATTGTTTGCGTAGATATCTATAAATGAACAGGGCAGATCGTTAAGTTTCTTCCTTTCGAGTCGCTACATCACACCTATCCAGTGTGGCAAACATTGCCTTGCATGAGTCGTTAAGATGCCACGGTCATTGTCAAGTGTGCAGAGGTCTCCATGAATGGAGCAAACTCGATATCCCATAGGATATGATTGCCCGTATTAAGATCAACATCGATGGCATATCTCCATTTCTCAAAGTTGGCTCTACAGCGCATAACAGCTGTTCGAAGGCGATTTAGGCATTAACAGAAGTGTCAGACATCACTGGATCCAGTGGTGAGGTATTCTTCAGGACTGAGAGAGAGAGAGAGAGAGAGAGAGAGAGAGAGAGAGAGAGAGAGAGAGAGTTAAATGTTCTTAAGTTGTGTTGTAACCTAAGGAAGGTAACTGAACAGAATAATCCCACGAAGGTTGTTAATGAACGATAATACTTAGCACAAGAACAACACATATAAGATTCGCCAGCGGCGCGTAGAAAAAGTAGTCAACTGCTAGAAATGAGTCAAATGTATTCCATAATAAATCTCCAACTGCAGGATATCTACCAAGCGCACCACGCGGTTAGATGAGGCACATGTCCGAATATAATGTGTGGTATTCGAGTCTGTAGGTTCGCCAAAAAATTCCCGCTAGAGCCCGTATAAAATGGGGTCGCGTAGCCGTTTCCTGAAACGAGACTCTGCCCTTCGACATAGCCTCTTCTGGAGACCCTCCGCCCGGAGGCAGAGAGTTTAACCAGCACAGCTGGAGACGACTCTCCAACTGCAGAATATCTACCAACCGCCTCACGCTGTCAGATGTGGCACAATGGCGAATTTAATGTGGGGTAACCGACCCTAAAACGGGGCTTACGGGGAATTTTTTTTTTATACATGACAGTTGAAATTTCGGTGAAGCTGTCTTAGTTGAACATCCAATCATAATAAGGGATTACGAAGTGGGTGAGGCGGGGACCAAGCGTTTTAAGTGATATGGAGTGTCTGAACTCTATTAAGTAGTTTTTCCGTTTTCCCTGAACCAATTTTCTAACAGTCCTATGCTAAAAACCTGATAATAGATGAATCCAAATACTGCATCTTTGCCATGTAATCATCTATGAGCAAAAACGAATTGAGTAGTCATAAATAACTTATTTTGAATAATATATATAGCGTCATCCACAGACTATTTCGCAGCTCATCAGTGGCTAGACATCCGGTTGCCTCTAGCTAGGATCGAAACCCGACTGTATTGGTGTCAGTCGGAGATTCTAACCATTAAGCCATCGGCGCAAGGTAGAGATGAAGTTGGATTTTAGCGTGTTTATTTTTAGAAACACGCCCAGTGACTCAATTCGCTTTTGCGAAGAGTCTCGCTATATATAGCTATAATAGTCACTGTTCACCAACGCACACCTCCTCCCCAGAGAGCTCAACTGAAATTAATTTTTCAGGAGCCAGTATAGCGTCATCCACAGAGAGACTGTTTCGCTGTTTCACAGCTCATCAGTTTGGCTAGACATCCGGTTGCCTCTAGCTGGGATCATTTATATATACAAGCTGGGATCATATATATATATATACTAGCCTACTAGTGAACCGTAGGGTCACTGACGGTTCTGGTTATAGAATATTGAAGTTGATTTTAATATTAAAAAAATGTCTTTGAAGAAAGTTGAAATAAAAATACTGTATAAAGAAAACCTATTTTTAAATCTTATTCGCTTGAAATTCTTTTTTAAATATGGCAAAAAATATTTTTTTTTAAATATTTAAAAGATTGTCTTGTTTAAAGAACGCTGAAATATAAATAATGGCGCACACAAAGAGAGAGGTTCAAAGAGAGAAGTGAAAAGAGAGAGATGGAAAGTGAGAGATAGAAAGTGAGAAGTGGAAAGAGAGAGGTGGAAATAAAGAGGTGGAGAGAGAGTTGGAAAGAGAGGGATGTGGAAAGAGAGGTAAGGTGGAAAGAGGGAGTGGAAAGAGTGAGGTTGAAAGAGAGTGGTGGAAAGGGAGGTAGGTGGAAAGAGAGAGGTGAAAAGAGAGGGAAGTGGAAAGAGAGGACGTGGAAGCAAGAGAGGTGGAAAGAGGTATTTTGGAAAGAGAGAGATGGAATAAGAGGGCGGTGGAAAGAGAGGAAAGTGGAAAGAGAGAGGTGAATAGAGAGGGAGGTGGAAAGAGAGAAGTGAAAAGAAACTTAAATACTTATTATGCGTCCGGCGGACGGCGCACCACGCAAGCACGATTCACAGACTCTTAGTTTTATATAGATAATAAAAATAGCATTGAACAAAGACGTGCCTTCAGATATTTCATTAAGATAACATCATCTGATTAATGTCTACCATTTCGTTTTTTTTTTCACTTATGAGTTATGAAAAGAAATTTATGATTAATAACGTATTTTTAGAAACATATTTAAGACAGTATTTTTTACATATTTCCAAATATATATATATATATATATATATATATATATATATATATATATGTGGATTCGGTTTGAAATCCGGTACCAATAAATAACAAACGCCAGGAATAAATATATGAAAATAATGTATTAACGTAATAATAGAAACTGATAAAGCAGGTTAGTAGTTCCAGGAATACGGGTTAGCATCAATATATATATATATATATATATATATATATATATATATATATATATATATATATATATATATATATATATATACATACAGTCTTTGGTATTGAAGTAACGTTTGTACTTCTTAACTGAGTCTTACGTGCTCGCTCACTGTGACTCCTACAACGCTGTTACCTCACCTCCTCTTCGGTTGCCTACAACCTTTTACTCTGGACTCGACACTTCGGTCTTGCTCTCTCTTACTCTCGTCCTCACGTAGCTGTAGTATATGTATACACTGGGTGAGTCTATTTGTGTAAACAGGGGTGGACCCCTGAACACATATTTAAGACAGTATTTTATAAATCTATAATTACTGCTGAATTTTATTTAAAAATCTATACGGGTCTGATAAAAAAGGAAGGACCGCTGCTATAATAGAAAAACTACAACACATATCAATTCGTCACTTAATCTCCTTCGAATTAGTTCCTTTCTGAAGCCACGCACTTAATCCAGTGTCGTTACCATTAATGGAACCATTCCTGGATCTCTTTAATTTTGTAGGTTGCAGATACCGCGCAGCGGCCTTGACGCATTCTCTTGAATTCCCTCCACGTCTACAAATCTCGTTCCTTTCAAGTGGAATTTGATTTTTGAAGAGGAAAAAATTCGCAAGCGGAGAATTTTAAAGAGAGTGGTAATGGATTATCTGATATATAAGATTATAGGATATGTTTATTCCTTCCTGGAACAAGCATTCTTAAAGAGCAAAGTAGGCAAATCTAATCCCTATATCATTTCTTCCGCATATATTTCAAGACGTCTTTATTTCAAAGGAACTGTAAATCCCATCAGACAAGTTTTTAAAGTTATCTTGTAAATTTATAATTATCATAGAGACGGACACACTTCGACGTGGTGTAATTTAATTAACTGAGTACTGAGTTCAATTCTCACTGAGTGCTCCATGTTTTCAGCCACATCTAATCATCATTATCGTAAAGAGAATGTGATACTTATTAAACTTTTCTATTCAGTTGTCGCATATTGAGCTATTGTCTCCATATTCTTCCAAATGGCTTTCCACTTCCTTTTGCACCGGGATTTGATTCTAAAGTTTCCTTCTGCTATGCTTTGCCTAAAGAAGCCGTACCTAAAATTAAGTAGATTACTTCCAGACGTATTGCCTTCCAAGTCTGTCCTACAGGGAAAGAATCTATGAATTCATACGTTTCTTTGTACCCTGGTAGAATTAGAACTCCTCTCTCCGATTTTCCAATCCGAGCCACTTGCCATTACCCCAACATATCTACAACTTCTTTTTTTCTTATATAATACCATATGTTTATGTTTATTATCATTAATAGCGTATTGTACAGTATATACGAGATTATACGAGATGATATACGAGATTATAGAAAGATGTATTCATTCATTTCCAGAGTTTTATTCCTCAGAAGCCAATTAGACTTAATCTATCAAAATGTTATACACAAAATCCAAAACGTCTTTAATTCTGATTTAAAATGCAGCTTTTTTCAATCGCCTTATATAACATTCTCGACAGATACTGTGAATTTATACCTATTTTAATGAAAACCTGACATTTGTAAAACTGAATTTGCTAAAAAACTTTAATTTATATCTTTCACATTAGTACATTTTACTGCTGGTATACAATTTCAATTTGCAGTAATCTACTTCAAAAATAAAATCGTTTGACATTTTCCGATGAATTAGAATGTAAATTAGGAAATGGATTAAAATCAGGCAGTAAGCGTAGCATCCAAAATCAGTAGCAACAATATCTGAATCAGTGAAAGCCAGAGTTTACACCAAAGTTACTGGCTATTTCGTTAATAAACGAATATATATATTCCATTGGATTCTGTTTCATTTATGCAAGTACCTCTGTATATGTCAAATTAATTATACGTGTTTAAGTCAAAAATTGCGTGTTTATAGTTAGTACTATTGTGGCCAGGTGAGAGAAGTTTGATCCAGTTTTCTTGCTGCTGTTACAGTGCAAACATAGCCGCTCCGCTAGCAGTGTGCACCAAAGAAAACAAAGAACGTTTGTGTCTTTGTATGGCTAATTATTTTCATGCTATGGTAATTATTTCAAAATCATCTAGTGGTGTCATATAAAATACATGAGATGAAATCTCATTAAATGTGTGAAAAGTGGAAAAGTAATTAAAAAATATCTCAATAATAATTGTCAGTTAATTCTAACGATGAACACAATCACGACTCTATCTGAAAGGAACTTATCTAAACTTAACCCTGTGAGCTCTGCCCTCCTGCTGAGACCCAGAGGCATAATCCCAAATAATTGGTACGTAATGTTTCACGGTAGATATAAAAATAGTAGATAATGACGACTTTATTGAATAAATGTACTCTTCCTTATTTCAAGATATATATATTTTTTGTGTCATTTTGGTAAATATATCTGTTAAAGTATTAATGTCAGTATTATTTTGATTTTTTGCTTAATTTAGACGACAATTTATCCATCGAAGCCTGTTTGTAAACAGAATGTGATCGATATCAATAGATATAGATAGATACATAGATATAGTTAGCTAGTTACCTAGATAGATTGATAAGACAGACAAATTGAACACTGCCGAAATCTATCTATCTATCTATCTATCTATCTATCTATCTATCTATCTATCTATGTAACTCAAAAACGATCGGAACTTTCAACATATATTTATGTTCCTCACACTGCCTTCTGCTTATGCGGGCTTATAGTCGGGACTGTTGTGGTCACGTGATGCAAGTTCGAGCTTGACCGTGCCAGTTTTCTTTGCTACTGTTACAGTGTAACCATAGCAAGTCCGCTAGCTTTCTGGACCAAAGAGTTCCAAAAAAATATATATATATATATATATATATATATATATATATATATATATATATATATATATATATATATGCCTTTCTATGCCAAAAATTTTTCATGACGGATAGAAATGCAATGCTAATTATTTTAAAAGTCTTCTAATATTGTCATAGAAAATACAAAGAATAAAACTCATCGGCAAATAATTAAAAACATACTATCAATAAAACTTGTCAGTTAATTCTACTGATGAACACAATCACGACTCTATCTGAAAGGGACTACTTCTTTCTTTCTATACACCACATCCATTCAGAACATTGGAGATTATGGCTCTCCACCTCTTCCTCTATGCCTTGCAGCTCTCAACAAGTTCCTTCCCTCTGCTATCTCCCCTAGACCACGTTCTGTCATCCACCGACTCAAGCCCGCCAGGGATGTCACCCACTGCTTACCTTTGTCTGTCATTCCTTCTATTCGACCCCTGAGTGTCAGATTCTCCAGGCCCTCCTTCCTCATTATGTGTCCCAGGAACTTCAGCTATTTCATCCTGATGTTATGCATAAATCTCCATCTTGTCTGCATCATCTCCAAGACCTCATCGTTTCTCGGTCCACGAAATCGTCAGCAACCTTCTGTAGAACCACATCTCCGTGGCTGCGAGAATATTCATCATCCTTGAGGAAGTAGTCCAACATTTGCTGCCGTAAAGAAGGACAGATATCACGTAAAAGTTCAGTTTTCTTTTCTTTGTTACCAAAGAAATCCTCCTGTCTCGGAATATTCTACCCAGCTTTTGGAATAGGCCCTTATTCATACCAATATGTCTACGGATCTCAGTGTCGCACTAAACGTCTTCTCTCAAAACGCTTCACTTAATTGTCCGCACATTCGGACTGATATGTATTTAGGTTTTGCGTATAGTTGTGGTACTATTGTGAAACTTATATTTTTTGATTTCCCCACATAAAAAATAATGATTAAATTTCGTTTAAAATCATACAAGTTTTATTTTCTTACCCCAGCAGATTTTATAATCGACGTCTCTCGTATATTTGCACCAATGCAAAATATTTACTTCAATTACCTATTCCACTTCCAAGTTACTTATAAGATACTTATAATCGTCGATAACTGACTATTAATAACTATGTTTTAGTTTGGTTTGGTTTGTTTTACGGCATATCAACAGCTCAATGGGTTATTCAATGACGACAAGATTTTTATTCCTGTTTTGTTTTGTTTATTTATGTTTTACCGCATCAATGGATTATTCAATGACGACAAGAGTTTTATTACCGGTTTGTTTGTTTTGTTAAGTTGTACGGCATATCAACACCTTAATGGGTTATTCCATGACGACAAGAGTTTATTGCTTGGTTTTGTTTTGTTATGTTTTACGGCATATGAACCTCAATGGGTTATTCAATGACAACAAATGATTTATTGCTGGTATTTTTTTCGAAAAGTGTATTGCTGGTATTTTTTTTCAAAAATGTACTGCTGCTAATAATCTATTGTTAGTAATAATATTTCTTCAAAAGTTTATTGCTGATAATACTTTTTTACAAAGTATTTCTGGTATTAAAACCTACATTTACATTTTCATAGTGTTTGTACACAGTTTTGGGGTTATGTATTTATCCATAGGTTGGGGCCCAACAGGTGCTACCACCCCGTGTCAGCGTGGAACTAGAAAAACCAAGAATTAAGAGGTGGTTCCACGCTCCCCAAAACCTCCTGATCAGAGTACTGGCTGTTGGACGAATTTTATCGTCTTAACCAGGACGCGGACGAAGTTTATCGTTTTACCCAGGACACGGATGTAGTTTATCGTCTTAAGCAGGAAGGTTCTAGCTATGACTGACACGTTTTTTGCGGCTTATTAACCTTATTATCAAGCTAATTAACACCAGAATGTATTTAAATTGTAAGAAACTATTTATATGTTACAGATAATAATAGTTCACTATTAATTAACGGATTACTGAAGAATAAGGGGGGGTCATAACATTCAAAAGAATATTGGCCCATAAGTAAACCTCTGTTAATCAGCTATGTGCCATACGTGATACACGCTACATTTCTATTCTAGTCTTCCTTTCTTTCTTTCTTTCTTTCTTTCTTTTTTACTTGCTATCTATCTATCTATTCATCTATCTATCTATCTATCTATCTATCTGTCTATCTATCTCTATTGTTCCTATCTCTCTATATCATTCTGTTTCTATCTATCTATCTATCTATCTATCATCTATCTATCTCATTGTTCTTATCTCTCTCTCTCTCTATCTATCTAACTATCTCATTGCTTCTATCTATCTATTTCATTTTGTTTCTTTCTATCAGTTTCTATATATCTATCTCATTCTGTTTCTTTCCATCAGTATCTATCTATCTATCTATCTATCTATCTACGTAATTATGTATACTTCTCTCTGTCTCATTCTCTTTCTATCTATCTCATTGTGTTTCTTACTCTCTATCTATTTCATTCTGTTTCTTTTTATCTATGTCATTTTGTTTTTCTATCTCATTCAATTTCTATCTATCTATCTATCTATCTATCTATCTATCTATCTATCTAACATACCATTCACAAGTATATTTGACCGTAAGTAAACCTCTTTTAGTCAGCTACGTGCCCTAGGTGATACACGCTTGGGCGATCATGTATCTTTCGATACGAGCCTGACGTTGGAGATTTTATCCCGTAGTAGGTTGCCATTTCTTTCAGCAGTAGACTAGTTGCTAATCAAGGCTAAAAACCCATTTTGTCCTGTTCTTCAACATATTAACATTCCCAAGGGTATTTGAAGTGAATCTAAAGGACTCGACTAGAAAACAAACGTAATTGGAATCGGTACACTGTTATCCGATTAGCAAATCCACGTCTTTATACATTACACCACCCGCATATCCAAGATACCATCAATCGGGGTACTGTACAGTCCCGACGCTGCTTATATTTTATGATCCCTCGGGAACATTTTTTTTTTCAATGTGATATGGCTATAAACCTATGTACGTTATGGTGGAAATGAGATATTCAATATCTTCATGTGGCCATGTTTCAATGTAATACCAAATAAATGTTGAAAATGTCTATTAGTAATGTCTATCAATCGTTTAACACCGTTTTTTCTAACAGAGAACAAACAAACCATGTTTATTAATATTTTGGAAGTAATTTAACCAGCTGTGAATTAGCCAATGTAAACATTAATCAAGTCTAGAATTTAGTTAAAAAAATATTGCACATTAAAAATCTAGAAAAGAATCCGAAAATAAATAGAAAATGATATTCATCATAAGGAAATATCTTTTAAATATGATGACTGCATCTCATTGACAAAGAAGATATGTCTTTTCCTCTCGTCATGTTCATAGGAATAAGTAAAATAATTATTGTCAGATGAATAAAATCTCCTGTTATTTTTGCATAAGTAAATGCCGACTAGATTCAAAACATAATATTCTGAGGTACTTTCATCGTTAAGCCTCATATTTCCACATTATAACTGCCATTTTATAATCTCATATCTACTTTCATACATACATACATACATACACACATATATACAACTATATATATATATATATATATATATATATATATATATATATATATATATATATAAGTTTGTGAATATGGGTTTCACGATTTACGTTCATCAGAAATATACCCCTATATAAATATATATAGAAACTCTCTGTAAACAAATATATATAGAAATAGATATATAAATAGAGAGAAAAACATACATGTATACATATACACACACACACAAACACACACATATATCTTTATAACTGTCTCTATTTGATGAGAGCTGGCTAGCTTGCTATTTAACTTAGTCTTATATGTATGCGTCCTGCACACACACACACATATATATATATATATGTATGTATGTATGTATGTATATTTGTCTATTCATATATATCTTCTTCAGACCTTTTATCTCCTTAGCTACATAATCAACTATTTCAATAATATCTCTCTCTCTCTCTCTCTCTATATATATATATATATATATATATATATATATATATATATATATATGTGTGTGTGTGTGTGTGTGTGTGTGTGTGTTTTCATTTCGTTTAAAATACATCCCTACCCCTACCTAAACATAAAGTTAATAAAAATGAAAACTCTTGTCTGTATGATTGTAATTCCCTGTATCCTTGGGAACACTGAATTATGAATTTTTCTGTACTGTTAAAACTCAGTAAATTTAAAAATATAAGTTACTCCAAAATTCACTTGGGGATGAAATGAAACTAATGTTTTTAATTTAATTACAAAATTAAATTTAAAGTTTTCAGCTTCCATTTTTGAAACATGGTCATTACTGTGTAGCGAAAAAACATGTTTTAATTTATAATATTAATTTGTAAATTTGCATTGAGCACTATTTTTGTAAAAAAAAAACATAACAATAATAATACCGGATTATATCTTACAGTTCTGTCTTTTATATATATATATATATATATATATATATATATATATATATATATATATATATATATAGTAGTAGTACTAGTATTACCAAAGATAACAGGCATTTTACTAATGTTTTTTTTTATGAATACTTTTCTCAAACAAAGGAGGAATTTGCATCAGAAATTGTCCAAGGCTCATTTCCGGGAAGAAAAGTACAAGAAATAAACGAGCTATCTATTTTTTTAAAGTTACTATCCAGGTAAAATGGAGGCATCGGTCGTTTATGCTCTGCATGTCGAAGAAGTGTCATTCATAATTTGAAATCAATTATTAAAATTCATCGACACAAAAAAGCTGTCTTAAATAACTGTGTAAATAGACTGCATATGTGTATATATATATATATATATATATATATATATATATATATATATATATATATGCAAACTTCATTAAACATGGTAGACAAGGTGAGTTTTTTATATAATTTCTCATATGATCTTTATATTTTTTTTTTTTTGGTAGATAAATTACCCAAAAACTGTCTAAATACTATTTTCCAGCGCTTCCGCCTATCATACATTTAACCTTTGTCAAAGCTGAAATATATTAACAGTTAATTAACATTCCCTGATGATGCGTCTATATTCACATGATTAAAGTAACTACTGCTTAATCTAGACTCTTGCTTTTGTTTGTCTGTCTGTACATATGTATGTAAATATCTATCTATCTATCTATCTATCTATCTATCTATCTATCTTTTGGTATCATGTAACATCAATTACTAACGTAAAAATGACAAAACCAGTTTTGCGATCAAGATTTTGTGGTTAGAAAACGAAACAAGATTTTTTTTAAAAAATAGACCTGGCAGAGGGAGACTGAAGAGTTTTACCCGAAAGGTCGTAGCTTGCAACAATCGAATAGACTGCACTGCATATATATATATATATATATATATATATATATATATATATATATATATATATATATATATATATATATATATTCGTGTGTGCGTGCGTGCGTGCGTGCGTGCGTACCCTAATGATACGGCATCGGTGAGAGTCGTGTCTTCAAGAAAGTAGTCATCGTCTAATGGAGGTTGGTTTCCCCTGGTGGAATAAATGACCACGACAAAAGACGTCCCGTCACATTGGAGCAATCCGGCTGTGGTTTCAAGCTAGATATCTAGAGGGAATATGGGGTGACCCTAAAATCAGACCCGGTGATGACGATAATGATAGAGAAGTTCATGACAATGAGCTGTCTATGTTGCTTCAGAGAAATTTGATATCTATCTATCTATCTATCTATCTATCTATCTATCTATCCTAGTCCGTTTATAACCCTATCTATCTATCTATCTATCTATCTATCTATCTATCTATCTATCTCATTCTGCTTCTTTATCTCTATCTCATTCTGTTTCTATCTATCTATCTCATTCTTTCTATCTCATTGTTTTTTCTTTCTTTCTTTCTTTCTTTCTTTCTTTCTTTCTTTCTATCTATCTATCTCATTCTGTTCCATATATCTCATTGCGTTTCTTTCTATCTATCTATCTATCTATCCCAGTCTGTTTATTACCCAATCTATCTATCCTATCTATCTATCTATCCATCTATCCTCATCTATCTATCTATCTATCTATCAACCCCTAGTCTGCTTATTCATCTATCTATCCATCTATCTATCTATCTATCTATCTATCTATCTATCTATCTATCTACCCTAGTCTGCTTATAACCCTATCTATCTATCTATCCATCTTATCTATCTATCTATCTATCTATCTATCTATCTATCCTAGTCGTTTATAACCTATCTATCTATCTATCTATCTATCTATCTATCTATCTATCTATCTATCTCATTCTGTTTCTTTCTCTCTATCTCATTCTGTTTCTATCTATCTATCTATCTATCATCTATCTATCTATCTATCTATTTCATCATATTCGTATTTCATCCTCCAGTAACGTATTTTTATCATCTATCTCAGTTTCTTCCTATTTAACTATATAATTTATTCTGGAAGATTGTGTACCGCAATTTGTGTTTGAAGCGGTTACATTTTGTTAAAGTCGAAAAGACTTTCTCGTTCCTATTCGACGCCTATTTATCTCGTGAAGAACATAATTCATGCATAGATGTTGGAAAATGGAAGACAGGAAGTTGGTGTTGAGGCTGGTAAAGCGCATGCGTGGGTGGGTGTGCTTTCATGTGATGTGGAAATATCTGACTCCCAGAGCGTATCGTAAAGATTTATCAGTTTAAACTCTAAATACGTTATAGCTGCCATTCCATCTTCTCAAGTAACGTTATCTCTACCTTCAAAGTAATTATTATCTTCTACGCCATCTCTAGTTTTTTCATCAAGGATCTTAAGACTTTCTCGGGTTCTGCCTTTCTTGTATTTTCATTTCTTCTCGTACGTCGACTTCTCTTAATATTTTGCACCTTCGACATTTATTTCTCTTGCATTTTGCCCCTAAATCTTATTTTTCTCTTTCTTATTTTTTTTTTTATTTTTGTTGACCGTGTCTTTCTCTTTCAATTGTTGGTTCTTTTTTTTTTTCATCGGTTTTTACTTTTTAATTTTCTCATTATTATTTTGTTCTTTTTGGTAGCTTTTCTTCTCATCATTTTGTTAACATTTTTTGATTGCGTCCTTCAACAATATCTCAATTTTATTTTCGATTAGGTTCTTTCTTTCTTTCATTCTTCTTTTCTTTTCTTTCTTTTCTTTTCTCTGTCTTCTTCATTTTTTTTCTTTCTTTCTTTCTTTTCTCTGTCCTTCTTTAAGCCTTCATTTTTCCTTTCTTTTCTCTTTGCCTTCCTTTTTTTCTTTCTTTGTTTCTTTTTGTCCTCTTTAAGCCTTGTTTTTTCTTTCTTTCTCTTCTTGTCTCTGTCTATTACCTTCTTTTTTTTTTTTTTCTTTTCTTTCTCTCTGTCCTTCATTTTTTTTCTTTTTCTTTCTTTCTCTTTGTCCTTCTTTAAACTTCATTTTTTTCTTTTTTCTTTCTTTCTTTGTCCTTCTTTAGCCTTCATTTTTCTTTTCTTTTCTTTCTTTCTCTGTCCTTCTTTAAGCCTTTATTTTTCTTTCTTTCTTTCTTTTCTTTCTCTTCGTTTTCTTTTTTTTCCTTCTTTTCTTTTCTCTGTCCATTTTTTCATTTTTTCTTTCTTTCTTTCTCTCTGTCCTTCTTTAAGCCTTCTATTTTTCTTTTTTCTTTCTTTCTTTTCTCTCTGTCCCTTTAAGCCTTATTTTTCTTTCCTTTTTTTTTTTTCTCTTATTCTTACATTTATTCTTTTTCGTTTTTCTTCGTTTCTTTCTTTTCTTTTCATTCTCTCTTTTGTTTGTTTCTTTTCCAACCTTTGTTTCATTTTCATTTTCGTTCTTTCTTTTTGTTTCCTCCTGTCTTTTTTCTTTCCTCTCTTTTTTCTAGTTTTTCCATTCTTTTTTCTTCCTTCCTTTTTCTTTGTTTGTTTTTTTTTTTGGCATTCTTTCTTTTTCTCATTCTCTTTCTTTCGGTCTTTATTACATTCTTTCTTTTTTTCTCTTTTTCTCTGTCTCTGTTTTCTTTTATTTAGTCTTTCATCTCGTTTCTTTTAGACGATCAAATTTGTCTTCTTTTATTTCTTCCTTCTTTTTACAGTTGGATTTTTTTTCATTATTTTCTTTCTTTCTTCTTCCTTTTCTTTCTTCTTATTTTTACACAATCAAATATTATTTCTTATTTTTTCTTTGTCTTTCTTTTCTTTTTATCTTTCTTATTCTCTTAACGTTTTCTCTTCTTGAATTTATTCTTTCCTTTATTTTTCCTTTTATGCATTTTCTTCTCTTTTTTTCCTTCCTTCCATTCTTTGTTTGAGTCTTTTCTGTTCGTCTTCGAATTGTATTTGGTTTCATTTACTGTCGAATTTCTTTTTTATTTTCCTTTTCTTATTTTTTTTTTTCCTTTTTGGATTTTTATTTTCTTCTCCCCTTTTTACAACGGAAGTATTTTTTTCTCTTTTTTCTTCCTTTCCTTTTCTTTCTTTCTTTTCTTTCTTTCTTTCTTTCTTTTCTTTCATTTTTTTTTCTTTTTATTTTTGTTTTCAGGTATTCCTCACTGATGTTGAGTGGCCCTCTCACGTCTTTTTGTTCTCCGAATTCTTCGATTTTTCACTCTCTCCTATCCGCTTATATTCCACCTTCTTCTTCAAATTACCTATGTTCATCATCATCATCATCATCATCATCTTCTTCTTCTTCTTCTTCTTCTTCTTCTTCTTCTTCTTCTTGTTATTCGTCCTTTTTATCTTCTTTTTTCTTCTACTTGTTTGTCCTTTAATTTTTTTTATTTTTCTTCTTCTTCTCATTATTATTATTATTATTTTTTGCCAAATTGGTTCCTTTCGTAATTATTCACCACTCTTTCTTCCCTATTCCTTCCAGTCTTCATTTCTTTCTTTCTCCTCCTCTTTCCTTTTCTTCTTCTTCTTCTTCTTCTTCTTCTTCTTCTTCTTATTATTATTATTATTATTATTATTATTATTATTATTATTATTAATATTATTTCAGTATTTTTCATGTTAGTTTTTCTTTCCTATTCCTTCCGTCTTTCTCTTCTATATCCTGTTTCTCTTCCTACACCTTTTTCCTCTTGAACTCTCTTTTTTCTCCTTTTTATATTAATAATGATAATTATTATTATTATGACTATCATCATCATCATCATCATCATCATTATTTATTATCCGCCTAATTTTCTTCCTATTCCTTGCATCTTCTTTTTCTTCTTCCTCCTCTACTTCCTCACCCTCCTTCATTTCTTCCTCTTCTTCTTCTTCTTCTTCTTCTTCTTCTTATTATTATTATTATTATTATAATTATTCGCTGTCTTTGCTGTTGTTTTTTTTATTAAAATTGTCTGTTTTTTGCTTTTTTATTCATCGTCTCTTTTTATTGTCGTCGATGTTTTTTTTTTTTTTTTTTTTTTTTTTATCTCGAGTTACTTTTCTCATTTATTTCCGCATTTTGATCCCAAGGCACCATTTTCTTCTTCTTTCTTCTTCTTCTTCTTCTTCTTCTTCTTCTTCTTCTTCTTCTTCTTTCTTCTAACTTCCCTCCTCCTTATCATCATCTTCTGTCTTCTTCCTGCTTTTTTTTCCCAGGAATATTATAGCATCTATTTTCTCTTCCTTTCCTTCTTCATCTTCAGGTATATTGTTTATGTTGGGGGTTCTTTTTTGCATTTATCCTCTCTTCCTCTTCATTACTATTACATTTCTAATTCATCCCTATCGCCCTGTCCTCCTCTTCATCATCAGCAATTACCAACAACTTCTTTAAACGCCATCCAAACGTCCCCACTTCATTTAAAAATTAATTTTTTTTAAACAAATGTCCTCTTAAAAAAAGTCGTTTCAAGATTTATTTCAAAATTTATTTTTTTTTGAAACTTTAAAAATATTCAAAGAACCAATTCTCGACAGATACTGTGAATTTATACCTATTTTAATGAAAACCTGACATTTGTAAAACTGAATTCATAAAAACTTAATTTATATCTTTCACATTAGTACATTTTATCGTTGGTATACAATTTCAATTCTGGTAGTAATCTACTTGCAAATAAAATCATGTTTGACATTTTCCACGAATTAGAATGTAAATTGGAAATGGATTAAAATCAGGCAATAGCGTAGCATCCAAAAATCAAGTAGCAACAATATCTGAATCAGTGAAAACCAGGTTTACCTCTTAAGTTACTGGCTATTTCGTTAATAAACGAATATATATATTCCATTGGATTCTGTTTCATTTATGCAAGTACTCTGTATATGTCAAATTAATTATACATGTTTAAGTCAAGGTAGATGCTTATAATTAGTACTATTGTGTGGCCAGGTGAGAGAAGTTTGATCAGTTTCTTGCTGCTGTTACAGTGCAAACATAGCCGCTCCGCTAACAGTGTGCAAAGAAAACAAAGAACGTTTGTGTCTTTGTATGGCTAATTATTTTTCATGCTATGGTAATTATTTCAAAATCATCTAGTGGTTATTGTATAAAAAATACATGAGATGAAATCTCATTAAATGTGTGAAAAGTGGAAAATAATTAAAATATCTCAATAATAATTGTCAGTTAATTCTAACGATGAACACAATCGACTCTATCTGAAAAGGAACTTATCTAAACTTAACCCTGTGAGCTCTGCCCTCCTGCTGAGACAAGGCATAATCCCAAATAATTGGTACGTAATGTTTCTGGTAGATATAAATAGTGATAATGACGACTTTTATTGAATAAATGTACTCTTCCTTATTTCAAGATATATATATTTTTTTGTCATTTTGGTAAATATATCTGTTAAAATAACATTATCCAGTATTATTTTGATTTTTTGCTTAATTTAGACGACAATTTATCCATCGAAGCCTGTTTGTAAACAGATGTGATCGATATCAATAGATATAGATAGATACATAGATATAGTTAGCGGGTTACCTAGAATGAATTGATAAGACAGACAAATTGAACACTGAAATCTGTCTATCTATCTATCTATCTGTCTATCTATCTATCTATCTATCATGTAACTCAACTTGATCAGACTTTCAACATATATTTATGTTCCCTCACACTGCCTTCTGCTTATGCGGAAGCATAGTCGGGACTATTGTGAATGCGTGATGCAAGTTCGAGCTTGACCGTGCCAGTTTTTCTTGCTACTGTTACAGTGTAACCATAGCAAGTCCGCTAGCTTTCTGGACAAAAGTTCAAAAACATATATATATATATATATATATATATATATATATATATATATATATATATATATGCCTTTCTATGCCAAAATTTTCATGACGGATAAATGCAATGCTAATTATTTTAAAAGGAATCTTCTAATATTGTCATAGAAAATACAAATAAAAACTCATCGGCAAATAATTAAAAACATACTATCAATAAAACTTGTCAGTTAATTCTACTGATGAACACAATCACGACTCTATCTGAAAGGGACTACTTCTTTCTTTTCTATACACCACATCCATTCAGAACATTGGAATTTTCTCCACCTCTTCCTCTATGCCTTGCAGCTCTCAACAAGTTCCTTCCCTCTGCTATCTCCCCTAGACCACGTTCTGTCATCCACCGACTCAAAGCCCGCCAGGGATGTCACCCTACTTACCTTTGTCTGTCATTCCTTCCTATTCGACCCTGAGTGTCAGATTCTCGGAGCCCTCCTTCCTCATTATGTGTCCCAGGAACTTGGCTACTTCATCCTGATGTTATGCATAAATCTCCATCTTGTCTGCATCATCTCCAAGACCTCATCGTTTCTCAGTCCACGAAATCGTCAGCAACCTTCTGTAGAACTACATCTCCGTGGCTGCGAGAATATTCATCATCCTTGAGGAAGTAGTCCAACATTTGCTGCCGTAAGAAGGACAGATATCACGTAAAAGTTCAGTTTTCTTTTTCTTTGTTACCAAAGAAATCCTCCTGTCTCGGAATATTCTGCAGCTTTTGGAATAGGCCTTATTCATACCAATATAATCTACGGATCTCAGTGTCGCACTAAACGTCTTCTCTCAAAACGCTTCTTAATTGTCCGCACATTCGGACTGATATGTATTTAGGTTTTGCGTATAGTTGTGGTACTATTGTGAAACTTATATTTTTGATTTCCCCATAAAAAATAACGATTAAATTTCGTTTAAAAATCATACAAGTTTTATTTTCTTACCCCAGCAGATTTTATAATCGACGTCTCTCGTATATTTGCACCAATGCAAAATATTTACTTCAATTACTATTCACTTCAAGAGTTACTTATAAAGATACTTATAATCGTCGATAACTGACTATTACTAACTATGTTTTAGTTTGGTTTGGTTTGTTTTACGGCATATCAACAGCTCAATGGGTTATTCAATGACGACAAGATTTTTTATTCCTGTTTTGTTTTGTTTATTTATGTTTTACCGCATCAATGGATTATTCAATGACGACAAAGTTTTATTACCGGTTTGTTTGTTTTGTTAAGTTGTACGGCATATCAACACCTTAATGGGTTATTCCATGACGACAAGAGTTTATTGCTTAGTTTTTTTTATTTATGTTTTACGGCATATGAACCTCAATAGGTTATTCAATGACAACAAATGATTTATTGCTGGTATTTTTTCGAAAAGTGTATTGCTGGTATTTTTTTTTCAAAAAATGTACTGCTGCTAATAATCTATTGTTAGTAATAATATTTCTTCAAAAAAGTTTATTGCTGATAATACTTTTTACAAAGTATTTCTGGTATTAAAACCTACATTTACATTTTTCATAGTGTTTGTACACAGTTTTGGGGTTATGTATTTATCCATAGGTTGGGGCTCAACAGGTGCTAATACCACCCTGTGTCAGCGTGGAACTAGAAAAACCAAGAATTAAGAGGTGGTTCCATCGCCCCCAAAACCTCCTGTTCAGAGTACTGGCTGTTAACACCCCACGTCTTAACCAGGACGCGGACGAAGTTTATCGTTCTACCCAGGATACGATGTAGTTTATCGTCTTGCTAAGGAAGGTTCTAGCTATGACTGGACACGTTTTATGCGGCTTATTAACCTTATTATCGCTTAATTAACACCAGAATGTATTTAAATTGTGTTGAAACTACTATTTATATGTTACAGATATAATATTAGTTCACTATTAATTAACGGATTACTGAAGAATAAGGGGGTCATATAAGTCAAAAGAATATTTATTCATAAGTAAACCTCTGTTAATCAGCTATGTGCCATACGTGACACACGCCTACATTTCTATTCTAGTCTTCCTTTCTTTCTTCTTTCTTTCTTTTCTTTCTTACTTGCTATCTATCTATCTATCTATCTATCTATCTATCTATCTATCTATCTATCTCATTGTTCCTATCTCTCTATATCATTCTGTTTCTATCTATCTATCTATTCCTATCTATCTATCTATCTATCTCATTGTTCTTATCTCTCTCTCTCTCTCTATCTATCTAACTATCTCATTGCTTCTATCTATCTATTTCATTTTTGTTTTTTTCTATCAGTTTCTATATATCTATCTCATTCTGTTTCTTTCCATTCATTCATCTATCTATCTATCTATCTATCTATCTATCTATCTACGTAATTATGTATACTCTCTGTCTCATTCTCTTCATCTATCATCCTTCATTGTGTTCTTACCTCATTCATTCCCATTCTGTTTCTTTTTTATCTATGTCATTGTTTTTTCATCTATTCAATTTCTATTCATCTATCTATCTATCTATCTATCCATTCATTCATCTATTCATTCATCTATCTAACATACCATTCACAAGTATATTTGACCGTAAGTTAAAACTCTTTTTAGTCAGCTACGTGTCTTAGGTGATACACGCTTGATGATCATGTATCTTTCGATACGAGCCCGACGTTGAGATTTTATCCCGTAGTAGGTTGCCATTTCTTTCAGCAGTAGACTAGTTGCTAATCAAGGCTAAAACCCATTTTGTCCTTGTTCTTCAATATATTAACATTCCTAAGGGTATTTTAGTGAATCTAAAGGACTCGGACTAGAAAAGAACAATTGGAATCATCGCTGTTATCCGATTAGCAAATCCATGTCTTTATACATTACACCATCCAAGATTTCGAATAAGTTATTTCCAAACGACCATCAATCGGGGTACTGTACAGTCCTGACGCTGCTTATTTTTATGATCCTCGGGAATATTTTTTTTTTCAATGTGATAGGCTATAAACCTATGTACGTTATGGTGGAAAATGAGACATTCAATAACTTCTGTGTGGGCATGTTTCAACGGGTAATACCTTACAAATGTTGAAAATGTCTATTAGTAATGTCTATCAATCGTTTAAGCACCATTTTCTAACAGAGAACAAACCATGTTTATTAATATTTAAGTAATTTAACCAGCTGTGAATTAGCCAATAAAAACATTAATCAAGTCTAGAATTTAGTTAAAAAAATATTGCATTATTAAAAAATCTAGAAAAGAACTTGAAAATAAATAGAAATGATATTCATCATAAAGGAAATATATTTTAAATATGATGACTGCATCTCATTGACAAAGAAGATATGTCTTTTTCCTCTCGTCATGTTCATAGGAATAAGTAAAATAATTATTGTCAGATGAATAAAATCTCCTGTTATTTTTGCATAAGTAAATGCCGACTAGATTCAAAAACATAATATTCCGAGGTACTTTCATCGTTAAGCCTCATATTTCCACATTATAACTGCCATTTTTATAATCTCATATCTATTTCATACATACATACATACATACATACACGCATATATACAACTATATATATATATATATATATATATATATATATATATATATAAGTTTTGTGAATATGGGTTTCACGATTTTACGTTCATCAGAAATACACTCCCTATATAAATATATATAGAAACTCTCTGTAAATAAATATATATAGAAATAGATATATAAATAGAGAGAGAAAATACATACATACATACATATACACACACACACAAACACACACATATATCTTTATAACTGTCTCTATTTGATGAGAGCTGGCTAGCTTGCTATTTAACTTAGTCTTATATGTATGCGTCTTCATGCACACACACACATATATATATATATATATGTATGTATGTATATTTGTCTATTCATATATATCTTCAGACCTTATCTCCTTAGCTACATAATCAACTATTTCAATATCTCTCATCTCTCTCTCTCTATATATATATATATATATATATATATATATATATATATATATATATATATGTGTGTGTGTGTGTGTGTGTTTACATTTCGTTTAAAAAAAAATACATCCCTACCCCTACCTAAACATAAAGTTAATAAAAATGAAAACTCTTTGTCTGTATGATTGTAATTCCCGTATCCTTGGGAACACTGAATTATGAATTTTTCTGTACTGTTAAAACTCAGTAAATTTAAAAATATAAGTTACTCCAAAATTCACTTAGATGAAATGAAATTAATGCTTTTTAATTTAATTACAAAATTAAATTTAAAGTTTTCAGCTTCCATTTTGAAACATGGTCATTACTGTGTAGCGAAAAAAACATGTTTTAATTTAATATTAATGCTCTGTAAATTTGCATTGAGCACTATTTTGTAAAAAGAAACATAACAATAATAACACCGGATTATATATCTTTACAGTTCTGTCTTTATATATATATATATATATATATATATATATATATATATATATATATATAGTAGTAGTACTAGTATTACCAAAGATAACAGGCATTTTACTAATGTTCTTTTCCAAGTTACGAATACTCTTTCTCAAACAAGGAGGAATTTACGTCAGAAATTGTCCAAGGCTCATTTCCGAAGAAAAGTACAAGAAATATGGTACGAGCTATCTATTTTTTTAAAGTCATTATCCAGGTAAAATGGATAGCACTCTCGGTCGTTTATGCTCTGCATGTCGAAGAAGTGTCATTCATAATTTGAAATCAATTATTAAAATTCATCGACACAAAAAAGCTGTCTTAAATAACTGTTGCTGCTTAAATAGACTGCATATGTATATATATATATATATATATATATATATATATATATATATATATAAACATCTATTAAACAAGGTGATTTGTGAGTTTTTTATATATTCTCATATGATCTTATATTTTTTTCTTTGCGGTAGATAAATTACCCAAAAAACTGTCTAAATACTATTTTCCAGCGCTTCCGCCTATACATTTAACCCTTTGTCAAAGCTGAAATATATTAACAGTTAATTAACATTCCCTGATGATGCGTCTATATTCACATGATTAAAGTAACTACTGCTTAATCTAGACTCTTGCTTTGTTTGTCTGTCTGTACATATGTATGTAAAATATCTATCTATCTATCTATCTATCTATCTATCTATCTATCTATCTATCTATCTTTTTTGGTATCATGTAACATCTCATTACTAACGTATAAAATGACAAAACCAGTTTTTATGATCAAGATTTTGTGGTTAGAAACGAAAACAAGATTAAAAAAATAGACCTGGCAGAGGGAGACTGAAGAGTTTTATTGCCGAAAAGGTCGTAGCTTGCACAATCGAATAGACTTGCACTGCTATATATATATATATATATATATATATATATATATATATATATATATATATATATATATATATATATATATTCGTGTGCGTGCGTGCGTACCCTAATGATACGGCATCGGTGAGAGTCGTGTCTTCAAGAAAGTAGTCATCGTCTAATGGAGGTTGGTTTCCCTGGTGGAATAAATGACCACGATAAAAAGACGTCCTGTCACATTGGAGCAATCTGGCTGTGGTTTCAAGCTAGATATCTAGAGGAATATGGGGTGACCCTAAATCAGACCTTGGTGATGACGATAATGATAGAGAAGTTCATGACAATGAGCTGTCTATGTTGCTTCAGAGAAATTTGATATCTATTCATCTATCTATCTATTCATCTATCTATCTATCGTTTATCTATCTATCTATCTATCATATCTATCTATTTATCTATTTATCTCATTCTGCTTCTTTATATCTATCATTCATTTTATCTCTATCTCATTCTGTTTTATCTATCTATCTCATTCTTTCTATCTCATTGTTTTTTTTTTCTTCTTTCTTCTTTCTTCTTTCTTTTCTATCTATCCATCTATCTCATTCTGTTTCCATATATTCATTGCGTTTCTTTTTCTATCTATCTATCTATCTATCCCAGTCTGTTTATTACCCAATCTATTCATTCATTCATCTATCCATTCATCTATTCATCTATTCATCTATCTATCTATCAACCCTAGTTCTTGTTTATAACCCATCTATCTATCTATCTATTCATCTATTCATCCATTCATTCACCTAGTCTGTTTATAACCCTATCTATTCATTCACCATTCACCATCTATCTATCTATTCATCTATCTATCTATCCTAGTCCGTTTATAACCCCATCTATCTATCTATCTATTCATCTATCTATCTATCTATCTATCTCATTCTGTTTCTTTTTCTCTATCTCATTCTGTTTCTCATATCTATCTTCCATTCAATTCATCTATCTATTTCATCATATTCGTATTTCATCCTCCAGTAACGTATTTTATCATCTATTTCAGTTTCTTCCTATTTAACTATATAACTTATTCTGAAGATTGTGTACCGCAATTGTGTTTGAAGCGGTTACATTTGTTAAAGTCGAAAGACTTTTCGTTCCTATTCGACGCCTATTTATCTCGTGAAGAACATAATTCATGCATAAGATGTTGGAAATGGAAGACAGGAAGTTGGTGTTGAGGCTGGTAGGCGCATGCGTGGTGGGGTACTTTCATGTGATGTGGAAATATCTGACTCCTGAGCGTATCGTAAAGATTATCAGTTAAACCCAAATACGTTACAGCTGCCATTCCATCTTCTCAGTAACGTTATCTCTACCTTCAAAGTAATTATTATCTTCTACGCCATCTTAGTTTTCTTCATCAAGGATCTTCTAAGACTTTCTCGGTTCTGCCTTTTGTATTTTCATTTCTTTCGTACGTCGACTTGTCTTTTCTTCGTATTTTGCACCTTCGACATTTATTTCTCTTTGCATTTTGCCTAAATCTTATTTTTTATTTTTTTTTTTTTTTTTATTTTGTTGACCGTGTCTTTCTTTCAATTGTTGGTTCTTTTTTTTTTTTTTTCATCGGTTTTTACTTTTTTAATTTTCATTATTATTTTTGTTTTTTAGCTTTTTTCTTCTCATCATTTGTTAATATTTTCTTGATTGCGTCCTTCAATAATATCTCAATTTTATTTTCGATTAGGTTTTTCTTTCTTTCATTCCTTTTTCTTTTCTTTTCTTTTTCGTTTCTTTTCATTTTTTTCTTTCTTTCCTTTCTCTGTCCTTCTTTTTTTTTTTTCTTTTTTTTTCTTTCTTTGTCCTTCTTTAGTTTTCATTTTTTTTTCTTTTTTTCTTTTTCAGTTTCTTTTCTTTTCATTTTTTTTTCTTTTTTCTTTTCTTTTCTTGTCCTTCAGTTGCCTTTTTTTTCTTTCTTTCTTTCTTTTTTCTCTCTGTCCTTTTTTAAGTTTTCATTTTTTCTTTTCTTTCTTCTTTTTCTCTGTCCTTCTTAAGCCTTCATTTTTTTCTTTTTCTTTCTTCTTCTCTGTCCTTCTTTAAGTTTTCATTTTTTCTTTTCTTTTCTTTCTTTTCTTTCTGTCCTTCTTTGTCCTTTCTATTTTTTTTTTCTTTTTCTTATTTTTTTTCTTTTTTCTGTTTTTCTTTTCTTTCTTTTCTTTTCTTTCTGTCCTTCTTTAAGCCTTCATTTTTTTTCTTTCTTTCTTTTTTTCTTGTCCTTCTTTTTTTTCTTCATTTTTCTTTCTTTTCTTTCTTTCTCTGTCCTTCTTTAAGCCTTCATTTTTCTTTTTTTTTTTTCTTTATCTTTACATTTTTCTCTTTTTCTGTCTTCTTCTTAGTTTTTCTTTCATTCTATTTTTCTTTGTGTCTTTCTTCTTTTTTCCTTCTTTTTTCATTTTTCTTTTCTTTTTTTTTTCTTTTCAGTTGTCCATTCTTTTTTGTTTTCATTTTTTGTTTCTTTTTTTTTCTTTCTGTCCTTCTTTCTTTCCTTTTTATTCATTTTTCTTTTTTTTCTTTTTTTTCTCGTTTTCTTTTATTTTTCATCTCGTTTCTTTTTTTTCTTCTTTTTATTTTTTCTTAGTTTTTTTTTTTTCATTATTTTCTTTCTTTCTTTTCTTTTTTTTATTTTTTTACACAATCAAATATTATTTATTTTTTTGTCTTTCTTTATTCTCTTTTCCTTTAACGTTTCCTCTTGGTTATTCTTCTTTTTTTCCTTTTATGCATTTTCTTTTTTTCTTTTCTTTTGTTTGTCTTTTTTGTCTGTCTTTGTATTTGGTTTCATTTTTTACCGTCGAATTTTTTTTTTTTTTCTTTCTTTTTTTTTTTTCTTGGATTTGTTATTTTCTCCCCTTTTTTACAACCGGAAGTATTTTTTCATTTTTTCTTTCTTTTTTCTTTCTTTTTCTTTTCTGTCCTTCTTTTCATTTTCTTTAAATTTTTTTTTTCTTTCAGGTATTTCACTTGTTGAGTGTCCTTCACGTTTTTTGTTCTCGAATTCTTTTTTCACTTCCATCTTTCAATTTCTTCTGTCCTCATCATCATCATCATCATTTTTTTTTCTTTTCTTTTCTTCTTCTTCTTCTTGTTATTGTCCTTTTTACTTTATTTTTCTTCTACTTGTTTTTTAATACTTTTTTTTATTTTTCTTCTCATTATTATTATTATTATTTGTCAGTCTGGTTTCTTCGTAATTATTCCTATTTTCTTCCCTATTCCTTCAGTCTTCATTTCTTTTTCTCCCTCTCCTTTCTTCTTCTTCTTTCATTTTTTCTTCTTATTATTATTATTATTATTATTATTATTATTATTATTATTATTATTTTCGTATTTTCTATGTTAGTTTTTCTTTTTCCTATTCCTTCTGTCTTTCTATATCCTGTTTTCTTCCTATACCTTTTTCTCTTGAACTTTTTCTCCTTTTATATTAATAATGATAATTATTATTTGTTTCATTCATCATCATCATCATCATTATTTTTATCCGCCTAATTTTTCTTCCTATTCTTGCATCTTTTTTCTTCCTTCACTTCCCTCACCCTTTTCATTTTTTTCTTCCTTCTTGTTTCCTTCTTCTTATTATTATTATTATTTAATTATTTGTTTGTCTCGTTTTTTTGCTTTTTTATTCATCTTTTCTTTGCTCTTGATGTTTTTTTTTTTTTGTTTTTTTTTTTCTTTCGAGTCTTTTTTTTATTACATTCTTCTTCCTTTTTTTCATTTCTGTTCTTTCTTTTTTTTATTTATCTTCTTCTTCTCTTTCCTCCTTTCATCAGACGATGAAATTTAGTCTATTTTTTTATTTCCTTCTTTTCTTTTTGTTTTATGTTAGGGGTTCCTTTTTGATTTATGTCTTTTTCATTATTTTTAATTCATCCCCTTTCTCCTCTTTCATCTTTCAAACTTCTTTTTCAAACGCCATCACGTCTTTTTATTTACAAATGTAACTTATTAAAGTTTTTCTTATTTTTACAGTTATTTGAATTTTTTTTATTCAACTGAATTTATTCTGCTCTTACTTTTATATTTGCTGTCATAAAATTCATTGTTTGATCTTAAGAAATGCACAAGTATTATTCCAGAGAGAGAGAGAGAGAGAGAGAGAGAGAGAGAGAGAGACGTTTTTTCAAAAAATGGTTTCTCGAATTTTTTTACACAATTTCAAGCATACTTATTCAATTTATAATGTCTGTCCCTTCCCATTTCTGTTTGTCTTCCATGACCTGTTTGTTTGAGTCTTTCGATCTGTTCGTCTTAGAATTCGTAAGTGAGCTCTGAACAAAGCAAGGGAGGAGCATTGATGCCTTTGACTGTCGATTTTAATTTTGACAATGATATTTTATACATATTTCATTTTTATTTTTTTTTTTTTCCGGGATTGGATTTATCATTGAGATATCTGAGAAAATTTTCTCGTTTATACACTTTTTTATGAACTTTTGAATGCGTTGTATTTTTCTTTTCAGAGGTTTTTACCGTCGAATTTCTGTGTTTTTACGGGCAAACAGTTTTGAACGAAAATGCATTCTTATCAAAAAATTTGAAGCAATAGATTTTTAAAAAAAATTACAAAGAACAAAGAAAATTATATTTCAACAGTAAATCCCATTTTTTTTAAAATTACAAGTCAAATCAAAATTTTTTTTCAGCATTAAATGCCCCATAAGCAATTGATATTGGAGTGCAATAAATGCATCCAACTAAGAAATTTATATTTCGGTAGTAAGGACCCATAAAGTGTTTTGCTTTTTACAAATGAAATCACTCCAATGAAATAAATTTCATAAAGGAGTTGATATGTCGTTAAACACATAAAAAGGCAAAGTTGAAAATATTTCGGTAGTTTTTCAAAAGGCAAAGTTCAAGAAAATTAAATTCTTCAAAATCGGTTGATATGACCCATTCTGTTTAACAAACAAATCAAATAAAACCCAAATTCATCAGGAATAAGAGTTGTCGTTAAACAAACAAATCAAATGAAACCCCCCACCCCAAGAAAATTACCATAAATTTAAGCATTAAATGACGCATAAGAAAATTAAAGTTGATATGACCCGTTTAACAAACAAATCAAATGAAAACCAAGAAAAATAAATTTTGTATTAAATGACCCATAAGGTGTTGATACCCCCAAATGAAAACCAAGAAAATTAAATTGGTATTAAATGACCCATAAGGAGTTGATATTCCGTTTAACAAAACAAATCAATGAAAATCACCAAGAAAAAAAATTAAATGAATAAGGTTCGGTTTAACAAACAAATCAAATGAAACCCACCAAGAAAATTAAATTTTTGGTAATTAAATGACGATAGTTGATTCCGTTTAACAAAACAAACAAATGAACCCACCAAGAAAATTAAATATTCAAATCAAATGAAACCCGTATTCAATTTATATTAAAGGGTGTTGATATTCCGTTTAACAAACAAATCAAATGAAACCCACCAAGAAAATTAAATTTTGGCATTAAATGACGCATAAGGAGTTGATATTCCGTTTAACAAACAAATCAAATGAAACCCACCAAGAAAATTAAATTTTGGTATTAAATGACCCATAAGGTGTTGATATTCCGTTTAACAAACAAATCAAATGAAACCCACCAAGAAAATTAAATTTTGGTATTAAATGACCCATAAGGTGTTGATATTCCGTTTAACAAACAAATCAAATGAAACCCACCAAGAAAATTAAATCAAGGTGTTGATATTTTAACAAACAAATCAAATGAACTCACCAAGAAAAATTAAATTTTGGTATTAAATCTTGATATTCCATACCAAACAAGTTGATCTTTATATGTCAAAACAACCAATTATTATTATTTGGTATTAAATGACCCATTGTTGATATTCCGTTTAACAAAATAAAATCAAATTCCAAGAAAATTAAATTTCAAGTATTAATTCCATTTTGATATTTTTTCAAATTTAAAATTTTTTTTTCATAAGTTGTTCCCTCGTTTCAAATCAATGAAACCCACCAAGAAAATTAAATTTATTAAAATGACCTATAAGGAGTTTATTCCGTTTAACAAACAAATCAAATGAAACCCACCAAGAAATTAAATTTTTATTAAATGCATTCCATAAGGTGTTTATTCTGTTTAACAAACAAATCAAATGAAACCACTAAGAAAAATTAAATTTTGGCATTAAATGACGTATAAGAGTTGATATTCCGTTTCAAGAAAATTAAATTTTGTATTAAATGTCAAATGAAACCCACCAAGAAAAAAAATTAAATTTTGGCATTAAATGACACCAAGAAATTAAATTTTGTATTAAATGAAGGAGTTGATATTCCGTTTAACAAACAAATCAAATGAAACCCACCAAGAAAAAAATTTTTTATTTTTTGGTATTAAATGACCCATAAGGTGTTGATAAATATATTTTTGATATTCCGTTTAAAAACAAATCAAATGAAACCCACCAAGAAATTAAATTTCATTTCATAAAGAGTTGATATTCCGTTTAACAAACTCAAATGAAACCCACCAAGAAAATTAAATATTAAAATTATTAAGTGTTGATATTCCGTTTAACAAACAAATCAAATGAACCCACCAAGAAAATTAATTTTTGGCATTAAATGACGCATAAGGAGTTGATATTCCGTTTCCAAACAAATTAATTCCAAGAAAATTGACCAAATTATTCGTTTAATTCAAATGAAACCATCAAGAAAATTAAATTTTATATTAATGATTTATAAGGTGTTGATATTCCGTTTCAAAATGAACTCATTTTCATTAATGACCCATAAGGTGTTGATATTCCGTTTAACAAACAAAAATCAAATGAAACCCACCAAGAAAATTAAATTTTGGCATTAAATGACGTATAAAGTTTGATATTCCGTTTAACAAACAAATCAATGAACCCACCAAGAAAATTAAATTTTGGTATTAAATGACCCATAAGGTGTTGATATCCGTTTAACAAACAAATCAAATGAAACTCATCAAGAAAATTAAATTTCATTAAATGACGCATAAGGAGTTGATATTCCGTTTAACAAACAAATCAAAATGAAACCCACCAAGAAAATAAATTTTGGTATTTTTTTTGATATTCCGTTTTTTTTCAAATCAAATGAAACCCATCTTTAAATTTTGTTGATTAACAAACAAATCAAATGAAACCCACCAAGAAAATTAAATTTTGGTATTAAATGACCCATAAGGTGTTGATATTCCGTTTAACAAACAAATCAAATGAAACCCACCAAGAAAATTAAATTTTGGCATTAAATGACGCATAAGGAGTTGATATTCCGTTTAACAAACAAATCAAATGAAACCCACCAAGAAAATTAAATTTTGGTATTAAATGACCCATAAGGTGTTGATATTCGTTAACAAACAAATCAAATGAAACCCACCAAGAAATTAAATTTTTATTAAATTAGTTGATATTCTGTTTACCAAACAAATTGAAACCCACCAAGAAAAATTAAATTTTGTATTAAATGACCCATAAGGTGTTGATATTCCGTTTTCAAATTTATTTTAAAATGAAACCCACAAGAAAAATTGTATATTAAATTTTTTTTTTGAAACCCACTCAAGAAATTAAATTTTGGTATTAAATGACCCATATAAAGTTGATATTCCGTTTAACAAAAAATTTTTTTATTGAATCTATAAGGTGTTGATATTCCGTTTAAAAACAAATCAAATGTACCAAGAAAATTAAATTTTAAATGTTGTTGATTTTGTTAACAAACAAATCAAATGTTTTTTTTTTATATTAAATGACCCATTTTATTCCGTTTAACAAACAAATTTATCACCAAGAAAATTAAATTTTGGTATTAAATGACCTATAAGTTGATATTCCGTTTAACAAACAAATCAAATGAAACTCACTTCAAGTTTTTTTGACCCATAATGTTTATTAAAAAAACAAATCAAATGAAACCCACCAAGAAAAAAATTAAATTTTGGTATTTGATCCTAATTTGATTCCGTTTAACAAATTTGGAGGCAAACCCACCTCTTAAATGACCCATTGTTGATATATTCCGTTTAATAAACAAATCAAATGAAACCTACCAAGAAAATTAAATTTTGTATTAAATGACGCATAAAGAGTTGATATTGCTTTTAACAAACAAATCAATGAAACCCACCAAGAAAATTAAATTTTGGTATTAAATGACCCATAAGGTGTTGATATTCCGTTTAACAAAAAACAAATTGAAACCACCAAGAAAATTAAAACATTAAATGACGCATAAGGAGTTGATATCTGTTTAACAAACAAATCAACAGAAACTCCACTAAGAAAAATTAAATTTTTGTATTAAATGACCCATAAGGTGTTGATATTCCGTTTAACAAACAAATCAAATGAAACCCACCAAGAAAATTCAAATTTTGGCATTAAATGATTCCATATGAGTTGATATTCGTTTAACAAAC